TCCCCAAACAAAAAATAAAACTCAGAAGGTTCAAAATTGACTCCTTACACATTCACCTTTATAACTTAAAAAGGGTTTTTTTTGGATGAATAAACCTAAATGTTATGTCCTTTGAATCCAACATTCTCCCAAGTTCAAGAATTACTCTTAATAATTTTTGAACTCTCTTAAAGATAAAGATGATAACTGGAAACATCAGCAAAACCATGGACAGATGCTAAACACAGTGGTTCCCTAGACAGCATCCTTGAAAAAGCTAATTGTCCATGCTAAAAGCAAACAGCTGAGATCTGATATTAGTTTTTTAAAATAACTAAAGAATGCTTTTTTCTGGTTTAACTTTAAAGCATAGTTTAATAAATACAAAATCCTATTTACATATTGATTCTGTTTTTCAAAAATGTAGAATTTCCAGAATAACATTTACTATTGATGCTATTGAAATGATTTTAGAATTCCAAGATGGACAGTAATATGGTTGACTTCAAATTGCAAGAAGTCTGTAACTTATAATGGAATTCTATCATAAGCTAAATATCAAATAACTGTGATAGTTCCAAATGTTGCATATAACCTTCCTGTTATGTATTATAATCAGTTATTGGACAGGGCTTGACATATCCTGGGATTGCTTGTTGGAATTCAATCCCACAAATTACAATACATTTAATATAAATATGTTTAACTTATCTTTAGAATGTACTGTACTTATGATAATGTATCTGTAAGGTAATCAATATGTTTTATTTATTTTGTCAATAAGTCTGTTGACAAATTTGTCAACAAATTGTAAATAATAATAATAATAATAAATTATAATGTAGTAAAAAAGTTTTTATTTTATACTTTTGTCAAAATTCTATATTATTATTTACTGCATTCTTATATTTGTGTATTTATTCATTTGAAGCTATAATAGCATAAACATTAATAGTGGTTTAATTACATTTTAATGAATTTGTTTTATATGAACTGGTTTATTCTGAAAGTAATCATTAATTTCCTTCTGTTGCTAGGCATTTAAAATGAAAATGAGGACAATGCCACAGTTAAGCCTACTTTTTTCATGAAAATTACTCAATATTATTATTTGACAAATAAGATAATTTAGATTTTATTATTACTGAAATAACTGCACAACATTTCACAAATTGTTTTTATTTTTATTAAATAAATGACTAAATATATATATGTATACATTATTTGTTATTTTTTTTAAGTAAGATTTAAATATTCTATAATAAACATTTCAAAATTCTTTTGGTTTTTCTTCAAATAATTTCTTAAATTCTTTTGTAGAACAGTTTCAAATGACACAATACAATTTAAAAGAACTGTTTAAAATATACTAACACTTGACTCTTTTTAAAATATGCAATTGCATATTTTCAAAAGTGTATTTGTTATATACAATTGTTGCAGCAGTGGTTCTCAAATTGTAGTATATGCTTCCCTAGTGGAATATTTTCTAGGGGACACAAAGAAAATTTATCATTCTGATTATGACTAAACATAATTATTTCAGCATTAAAATTTGATTTCATTTAGTGGTATGTATCTGTACAAGGTGCAGTCAAAACATTCTGGGACTGGTCCAGTAAAAAATATATGATGTATATGTTAATTTATTGAAAGTTATCACCTTCAAAATAAGTTATTTCTACAGCTAAATATATGCTGAGTGGCCAAAAATTTAGAGACACCCTCTAATAATGAGTTGGTTCACCTTTAGCTCTGATCACAGCCAATATTCTTCTTGGTAAGGATTCAACAAGTTGCTGATAATGTTGCTGAGGAAAGTTGGCCCATGCTAACATAACGGCAGCTCTAAGTTGGGTCAGATTGGATAGTGGCGTTTCCAAGCATTGAAGTGATCTTTTGACTTTGTCCCACAAATGCTCTGTAGGATTGAGGTCAGAGGACTGAGCTGGCCATGGAAACAGGTTAAACTATGATTGATGTTCCTCAAACCAATTTGAGACCAATCAAGAACGGTGACAGGATGCATTGTCTTGCTGAAAGTGACCATCTCCATCAGGGACATTACAGCCATAAACGGGTGTACGTGATCGGCAATGATGTTGAGGTAAGCTGTTATATGAGGGGGAACCTAAAAAAAAAACCGAACTGAGAGCGCGCTACCATTTGTAGATGTAATAGAGAGTTCTCCCATTACATGGGGTTAGTAGAGACCTTCACAAAACAGCTGTCCAAACGGTATCAATTTGTAGGTTTACGTTTGAGCATAGTGTTGTGTTTCTCTTACTGTTATTTTGTTCCACCTGCGAAAGTTCTGGGAGTCCTTCAACATCTCGAAATGATGAAAACGTTGAAAAAATCCGCCAAAAAAGTGTTAAGATGTCTGCGAGAGGATGTGCAAAGGAAACACCCGGAATTTTGGCAATCAGGTGACTGGTTCCTTCATCATGACAATGCCCCTGCACACACGGCCTTACAAGTGACTCACTATTTGGCCTCTCGGGGATGGCCTGTTGTTCCCCACCCTCCATATTCACCAGAGCTAGCCCCGTGCAACTTTTTTTTGTTTCCGAGAATGAAGAAAAATCTAAAAAGGAAGCATTTTGATGATGTGGAAGCGGTAAAAACAGCTTCACTAAGGGCACTGGACAATATCAAGGTTGAAGAGTTCCAGAGATGCTTCAAACAGTGGGGAAAAAGACTTCACAAGTGCATCACGTCTAATGGAGAGTACTTTGAAGGTGACTGAAGAAATTTTGTAAAAAAGTTAATAAATGAAGTTTTTATACAAAAAATCTGGTTATTTTTGGGTCCCCCACGTATTCAGAGATGTGTCCACAAATATCAAGGTGACTCTGTATACTCCAGGAAAACATTCCCCACACCATAATTCCACCACCATCAGCCTGAAGAGTTATTTGGCAGGAGGGGTCCATGAATTTGTGCTGTTTGTGCCATATTCTGATCCTGCCATCTGCATGATAGAGCAGGAAACAAGTGGACCAGGCTACTTTTTTCCAGTCCTTAAATGACAATTTTGTCATTCCTGGGCCCACAACAAGTACCTTTTTCTTATTTTTCTGTGATACCAAAGGAACTCTTGATGGTCTCCTGCTGCTAAAGCTTATCCTTTGCAAAGTGTGTTTTGATATGCGTTGGGATTTGTTTTGTGATGCACCTGCATTGAATTTAGCTGTAATTTGTCGCGTTGTTGCCCTTCTGTTGCTGCGGACTATGTGTGCTAATTGTCTTTCACCACTCTTGTTCACCAGCCTTTTTCGACCAGAATTGTCCTTATTGCTTGAAGTTTTTTTTTCCTCAGCAGCCACTCTCTAAACACCTGTGATACTGTTGGGCAAGAAAATACTAAAAGAGTTGTTGTTACAGAGATGCTGACACCAGTTCTTCTTGCACTGACGATCATTCCTCGTTCAAAGTTACTTAAATTTTTTGTCTTGCCCATTTTGACATTCACTTCCATGATAACTACGTCGTCTGAAGCTGAGCATACCTTATATAAGCAACTCTGCATTGTTACGTCAATCTACACCACTGTCAGACTGATTTACTTTCAAATAAGAGGTGTCTCTAACTTTTTGCCACTCAGTGTAGATTCCAGTGCTTCTCCCAGTTTCCAAAAAAATTCCTGAAACTTTTTGTGACATCATTAAGAATTTGCTTCAATTCTGTTTGACTGTCATCAATGTTCTCAAACCACTGTATTTTGTTTAAACACATTCTAAAACCAATTACCTTAATTGGTTTATTGTTTTATTTTTACTGGTTTTTAGGTCTAAAACCAATCATCTATTTTTCCATTTGAACTGTTTTTGTAACATGGAAGTTTTGGGAACATATCTACCTTGTTTCCAAAGTATTGTGTGTTATCAAAAAGCTATAAGAAAATTTTAGAATGTATTTTATTTTAATAAAACTAAGAAAAATATAGGATAATATGTTTTTAAGAAAAGTGTAGGAGATCACAACAGATGTTGATGGCCGTTAATGAAACTAGAAGCAAGTTGTTATGATGGAAAAGAAATTAAAAATATAAAATAAAATGTATATAAACTATGTTATTTATGTTGTTAACAAATTTTCCAGATTATCCAGATTGAGCTAGTCCTATTTGTGCCAGATAAACAGGGTTTCACTAAAATGTAGATTTTATTGCTAAAAGATAGCTTTTGGACTTATATTTTATTATATTTTGGCATTAAGTGCATACTCATCTTTTTAAAGGTGTAATTCTATACAATACTAAACTTCAACTTTGTCATAATATTTCCCTTGGAAACACAAAAGAAAATACATTAAATTAGATGTGAAATTAAGTCTTTGGATTTTAAAAATTTTGAGTTAATCTCAAAACTATTTTAACTTACAGAAATACAGAATGAATTGAGTATATGGAAGTTAAGTCAGGACAAAATTAAAATTTGAATTAAGAAAGTTTGACTTATTAAGATTCTATTCTATTAATTTTTTGACACTGAATTTATAAGAAACTTGAAATATGATGTAATATACTTTGTTTTGAGTAAATTTCTAAGGATGTGTACAAGGTATAAGATTTCATTCAAATATTCTCTACTGTAAATATAATTTACATAAAATAGTTTATTGTTTATTTGATCTAATTTTTTTCCTTTACTTTGAATATCATAACAACATATTCTTGATAACAAGTACATTTTTACTCCATATTTTAGATTCACTTACTCAGCATTTCTTTTTATGTAAAGTATCTCAAATTTGAATTTTATTTATTTTATAATTTTATTTAATATCACAAAACATGTTAATAGATTCTTAATTTTGATATAAAGTACAAAATATTGAGAATTAAAAATATAATGTTTTGTACATCTTTTGTACATTAATAATAAAGAACAATATATCATCTTTGTCATATTAACGGAAGGATTTTATCATTGGTATTTGAATCCTCTTATATTATACATAAATAAATAACAATCTGATTTTATATAAATTTATTGATTAAGTTATTATTCTTACAGTTGAAGATGACAGACCAAGAGCAAAATATTCAATTTAATCAACCATGTGTGCAGTGTTCAAGAGCTTCATTTTTATCCAAAATTTTTAGAAAATGCAAGTCATCGCCATCAGATAAAGATATTCGAATTGTTGTGCCAAATCATACTACAAATAAGAATATATCTGACAGGCAGCATCCAAACCATGCCTATCTTGCCAACAAAATTAGGACAACAAGATATACCATTCTTTCTTTTATACCAAAAAATATTTTTGAACAATTTCATAGGTTTGCAAATTTATACTTTTTGGGTATAGTTGTTCTTAATTGGTTAATTGAAGCATTTGGTAGAGAAATTTCTATGGTTCCTCTTGGATTTGTGCTTGGTGTAACAGCAGTTAAGGATGCTTTTGAAGATTGGAGGAGATATAAATCAGATAAAAGGGTAAACAGTTCTACATGTAGGATATATAATAGGTAAGAATATATTTCGTTACTTTTTATTTTTAAATTAAAATATAGATTTTATATAATAATGCTCTACAGTACTAGTCTGTAGAAATATGAAATTTTATTTTTAACATCTTATCAAACCATAATACTGATAAATTGGAATAGTTTATATAGTAAGGTCTTGTTTTGTTTCCTCGTTTTATAAAGATTCAAATTAATGAACATTTCAAAATCTATAAAAAATCAAAAATATAACCAAAGAAGATGAAAGACAAAAACAAAAGCATAAATGCAATGCAGGTATTTCTTAATTAATGCAATTAATGCTACCTTGTATATCAAAATCACATTAATTAAAAACCTCAATGTAATAGAGTGATACCTTGGTACTAGAACAAATTTTCGGTTAACAACAAATATTTTTATTTATTTAAATTTTGTCATCCATAAAGTTTTCTATGATAAAAATAAGTAACTAAATTAAAAATAAAATGAAACCTTAGAACTGCTTACTTTCATCAGACAACATTCAGTTTATCTTTTTCACTTAATGTATGTGGAACACAATCATCGTGCTGGTGATACACTATGATTTTTTCAAGTTTTGAGTTATTATTTGTCAATTATTAATAATTTCTTCCCAAAATTTCTCTTCAACAGTTTTTAGGTAGCCTGTACATTTTGTATCCTTTAGTTCAAAATTTTCCAAACAAAACTTTCAAAGCCACAATTGACACATTTCACATTTAGGAGCATCTTCCCCATACACATCATGAGTATTTTTTACTGTTTATATAGTGTTATATCCTTTATGAGTTGCTAGAAAGTCATGGAGAGAGGAAGATTTGGAAGAACTGGCTGTATAATTTTCTAAAGATGACAGTGAAGAGGATAACAAAGTTCAAGAAATTGTATCACTCAGGGCTAATAAGACAGACACTTAAAGAAGCTTTAACACAGATACAGACTACCCATGAACCTCTTTGCAATAATGCTCCATACTGGGAATGCAGCATTTCTTCCAAAGAGCTGTAACAAATGTTTTCAAACCATTTTATAACATTCTAGAAGAAAGAAGGAAAAGAGCCTAGCTGACATCCTTGGTGCAGTTCTAACCCCAAGGAAAACCTTGAAGCTTGTCAATCTAAATGACCCTCAACTAAGCCCATTTTTTAAGGATTCTTTATTATGCCATTGTTTTCAATTTATAACTCTTGTCTTTTATTTATAAATATTACTAGGGTTGTAAAGAAAATAGTGACAACACTGTCTCCTGGATGAGTGTTAGCTAGTGACGACATTGTTCTTTCTAGCAAGTGTAGTGGGAGTAATTTTGTGCTCAGATCAAAAAAGTGTATTGGTTCATGACAAAAAGAGGAATATATATGAAGCATTGAATTAGTGGTGTTGAACTGGACTGTCCTAACATAATGTTTTCAAAGAGGAAGCTACTTGCATGAATAAAGATTAAGGGGACACGTGGAAGGAATAATAAAAAATTTATGAAGGATTACTGTGTTGAATGGTGACATAATGGTTGAAAGTATTTCACCAAGGCTGTGATATTGTGGACAATGTGGCATGTTCTGGTTGTTCTGGTATTGAATCTCATCACATCAAATTGATTGATCACTAATGTGATGGATTAATGGTGAACAGTGAGATAGTGTGAGGTCCTGGGCTGGGACGAAAAACATTCTTTTAATCAAAAATCCAAAAATTGAATCTTAATTTTTGTGATTAATTAAAATTTAGGGAACTAAATTATAAAAGAAAAAGGGGAACAATAAAATTATTTCAATATTAAAATCACGCAGTAAAAAAATGAGAAAAATTCGTAAATTAAATTTTTTATAAGACAAGACAAACAAAAAGTTATGTTAGTTAAGATACAAGGTTTATTCAACACCAAACAAAAGACTGTGTCAAATTGTACTAATAAACAATCGTCTTTCTTGGAAACCGATCTGGTCCAATTTCACCTGGTAACAGAGAAAGACCAATCTGGGACTGAGAAAGGAATTAATAACCAATAAAGTGATGATTTGCGAGATGAAAAGATATTTAAGCCCAGACCAAAAGGACACTCAGTTCTTTGCCATGGCATCCCACAAGGCTATGTCCCTCGTTTGGCAAGGTTCCATCTTTGTCCTTTGCCGATGTATCCTCTGAAAGTTATAGACCTTTGTTGAGAGAAACTTCGAACATTCTGATCTGCATTCATCAGACATTGTTTCCTGTTCAACAACTGGACTTAGAATGCAACATTTGGTCAGCAAATAGAAACCACCTTCATCACTGGACTTTCCTCTTCTTCTTTGAAGACTATGCGCCAAAGTATACAGGGACTTAAACCCTTTGTGACTATGAACTTTTTGTAAGTTAAATTGTCTAAATGAGGCATTGATCTCTGACTCATCCACTCCTACATGACGTTGACTGTTACCACTCGGCAGTTCAGACAGCAATGGAGACGATAACGATATTACATATGATCATTATTATTTTGTTTTGAAATCTTCCCCCACTTGTCCCCCTCACAATAGTTAGCTGCAAAGCCAAGAACAAGCCAAACAACAAGGTTGCAGGCGTTAAAAGACATGTTTTGGTACCACAAAATTACAGCATGATGGGTGCTTCATTATCTCAATGAGGAGCAGAAATAGTACTGCTATATGCTTGTGAATGAACATTTGGAATGTTACAATCAAGAAGGTCATACATTTCTTGAAAGAATAATTGCATTGAATGAAATGTGGGTGAGGTCATATGAATCAGAATTGAAATGACAATTTAATGAATAGTGACATTCAACTTCTCAGTCGAAGAAGTTGCATTAAGAACCTGGGAACATACCACAGTCCACTATCAGCATCAGTTTTTGTTAAGGATTGTGAATTTTGTACTATTATTCTCAACTGCCATGGGGCATCACATCGTCCTGCACCTTTCCTTTTTTTGTACCATTTTCCGCCATGTTAAAAACTAGCACAGAAGGCTTGTGCTGGTCGAATGTTCTTTGTATTTGTTTGTTCAATTAAACATAGTTTACTGTCAAACAGTGTATCATTATACACAATCTTTTCACTTTTAACAGGTTATGGGTCCAGAGGTTCCAGTAAGTTCCTTAAATTTTATATACTGTAGTTAACTTTGTTTAGTGGAGTAGTCAAAATGACGGGAGTTGCAATGGTCGTGCCAATATTAGAAGCAAATAACTTTAATAACTGGAAATTTAGAATTATGTCTATTCTAAAAAGAGAACAGTGTGAGGACATGATTTACAGTGATCCATTATATGAGGAAGCTGAAAGAAAGAAATATATGGCGGAAGATGCCAAGGCACAGTCAGTAATATCCAATAAACATTGGATATAATTATGGGTTGTAAAACTGCAAAAGCTCAATTACTAGCTCTGAAAGATGTACTCGTCAGAACAAGCTCATTCACTAAATTGACATTGTGGAGATGACTGTTGAACTTATGCTCAGATAAGAATGAAAGTCTGGAAGACCATTTTTTAAAGTTTGATACAATTATAAGAGATCTTCAAGATCTTGGATCCCAAATTAGAGAAGGTGATCAAGTTTGTCATTTATTACTCTCCCTGCCTTGCAAGTATGATGCAGTTGTGACGGCTTTGGAAACAGTGGCAGAAGTCAAAATGGATTTTGTCAAAGCAAGATTATTAGACAAAGAAATAAAATTAAAATCCCATTAAGAAAATAACAATTTTATATCTGGAAACCAATGAAGTTAGTTTCAAGGTAAACAGCAGAGATTGTTACATATGAGGGAGCAAATTGTATTTTCAGGCACGATGCTCAAAGCACTCTCAGCCTAGGTCAGGGCATAGAAAAGGATTTAGAACTCAACATATTTGTAATAAGGGTAGTTAGCAAATCTTTGTTAAAGAAAAGCAAATTTCATTATTTGCAGCAAGCATCTGTAACCAAAAAAGCAATTTGAATAGCATCAGTTTTATTCTGGATTCGAGAGCAAGTAATCATTTTGTGAAACAGAAATTAGAACCCCTTATGGTAATGTTTTGTTATTGGATTATGAAGTGACTATTTATATAGCTAATGGAAAAGTTTTAAAGGCAACTAAAAGTGGTGAGCTACAGGCAATGTGTCAGGGACACACTATAACCATTGAGGCACTCATAGTTCCTGATATTAAGGATAATTTGCTGTCACTCTCAAAGATGACCTCAAAAGGACATCAGATCATGGTGGAGAAGGAATATACAACAATTTGTGGAAAGAATTTTGTGTTGGAATGTAACAGAGCAAATGGGTTGTATACTTTGGAACTGAACAATAGAATTAAAGAAGTTTGCCATGTTACAGCTGAAGACGATTTGTGGCATCGACCTATGAAAAGATGCACTGTGACAGCTTGGATAGACTCAAAGTTTCGAATTGAACGTGCTCAACGTGTATAGAAGGAAAGGCTTCTAGAGTCCATTTTTACCATATTGAAAGACATTCTACCGCCATAAGTGAACTTGTGCATAGTGATGTATGTGGATGTTTCATGCCATCTATAATTAGTGGTGAAAAGTATTTCCTGGTAATCTTAGATGATTTCTCACATTTTCTTGTTGTTAAATTGTTAAAGAACAAGAGTTAAGCAGAAGATAACTTGATAGATTATATTTGAGAAATGAAAGCTCAGCATGATCGTACAGTGAAACGACTGTGACTGGACAATGGTGGCGAATTTAGTTTGAACATTTTTAAAGGATTTGCAAAACACAATGGCATACTATTGGCATATACTATGAGCTACAGCCCACAGATGGGAGGAAAGGCTGAACGCATGAATAAGACTTTGTTAAACATGATTCACACAAAACTCATTGACTCAGGAATCCCAAAGGAGTTATGGGGAGAAGAATTAAAGAGCTCAGCCTATGAACTAAATAGATCTCCAACAAGTGCTCTTCAGAGAAAGAAAACACCATCACTTCTGTGGCATGGACAGAATGATATCAGCAAGCTGAAAATATTTGGATGTT